AAGGAAGAACTGTTTGGTAAACTACCATTTTCATGATTGATTACAATAACATAGTAGAGAAATTAGTTGGATGCCACAACAATCCCTTGATATTCAATCATACTCCCCAAGTTATAAATACACATAGGTGATAACGCTAGTAGTACAAGATATGCAAAATCACATGTTCCACAACATCCAGTCATCCAATAAAGAGAATAAGCAGGTATCCATGAAAGGATAGGAAAAATTAATCCACACCTCGAAATATAAATAAAAAGAAAGACAAACCTGGAAAGGTTCATTTTCATCAGTGGATCCAAGCATTTCATCGATAAGGAGCTGGCGTTCTGCAGGAGTACCATAAGTCAAACATTTTTCAACAACATTGGAAGCAAACTTCTGCTGACTCATCTTCACTATCTGTCCAGCAAGCATACTGATAATGGCAGAACGCTCCTCTGGTTTCCCATGTTGCAGGACATGCTAATATTCAAGTAAAACAACTCTGAATCGATAGGTGTAAAATGATGATGATTAAACTGTAAGGATTGAAGTACGGCACTAAATATAGAAAAATTAAGAGAAAATAGCATAAGAAACTAAAATAAAATTTTTCATTAAAAAGACCCAACATTTACATTTCAAAAGCATAGAAATCTTAATGAATATCAAGCCAATAATATGATAGCTTGCAGAGTAAATGAAAAAATTTAAGAACTAAGGAACATCTGTAGTCCCCCAACAAAATTAAGACAAGCATATGAAAACATGATATCTATGACAGGGAATTTCCAAACTCTATCAGAAGAAAAGGTGATGATTTCATATTAAAACCATACAGCTTGTAGGTCATAGTCCATAATATATAAAATAAATGAATGGTATAAAACATCAATACAAGGATGAGTAAGAGTTCTACATATGACTTTTATACAAAAGATAAGCCTTGTTTTAGATGCAACCCAACTAAGTTGGTTTAAGAAACAATCACCTTAAACAAAAGTCCTAAGGCTTACCGTAACAAGTAATCTTTGATTACTAAGACCGACAGGTTAACTGCATGCAAAGGGACCGAATTGAAAGCAATACGACTGTTTGTTTCACAAAGCCAATATATCATAGCAACTGACTAGTACTTCAATCACATAAAGATTGCTAGAAAGGTTAATCCAAATCTGATTTTACTACACAAAGGACTTCCACGTACTAGTAAAATTAGTTACACTGTTATAGTGTCAGCGTTACAGAATTCAGAAATTGCAGGGTTTTCGACAAGAATTAAATATTGCAAGCTGATTATGCATGCCCAACACTTACAGCAGTATGCCCACCCAGGCAAGTGTGATGTTCGTGTCAAATATGCAAAAAGCTGCAACTAGAAAACTACCATTAAGTGATAGGACAACAAAGCCCTTCATCCCAAATTTGGGCTGTTTAGCTGAATCCTTTTTCCATCCAGCTTACTAGGTTCATTCCTTGGTTAAAGGAACAACTAGAATCCCATCTTTATTTGCCACCCTCCCTTATCCGTTTAGACCTGCCTCAAGTCTTTATTTCGTAATAAGAACAATCCTATCCCCCATATCCGACACACTTATTTTGTTGTTTGTATCAAACCATCTAAACCATTTTTTTCTCATTTATACTCAATGAAAGTTAAATCTTTCAAGGATGCACTAATTTCTAATGCTAAGCTACATTCACTCATCTGTCTCAACTATGTTGTTTCAGTAGGACCCCAGAGACATCAAGATCTTCTATCTTACAGAATTTCTCCTTTCTTTGATGGTTATTCTACATAAGTCTGAGAAGCACTTCTATCTTAACTGAAAGTGCCAAGGAAAGGAAGCAAACCAGAAATAAAATTGATTATTGGAGTCCATGGGTTTAATACTTTTCGTTCATGGTACTACAACCTTTCTTGTTCAATTCAGGCGAGGTTCTTATCACAAATCAATTCTAAACCAGCTTCTACCTGGTGCAGTTTCCAAACTGCTGTCCAGGTCTGATCTTTAAGATGAAATGAAGTTCTCACTTTGCAACTGGAATTCTGCATTAGACAAGTAGTTGTTTGTTATGTTAGTCATTACATATCTATTTTATGTGCTAAATTGGCGGAAAGAGCAGCCAGATATCAGTATCTTCATCTCGTCTACGTCTTTCTTTTTTGGGTTTTTTTTTTTTTTTTTTTTTTTTTTTGGGGGAAATAATATTTTGCATTTTAAGGACTAATTGCTATTCGAGATTTCAGACATTAAAGCTTAAGATTGTTATAAATAGTAAGAGACCGGAGAGTTTAACATGATAACCTTAACAGTTTTACCAATTTCAACATTTTTCGAAGCCATGGAACCTGAGATTAGAGAGCCAGCCTCACATTTTATCTTCTTTATAGGCCGTTTTGCAACTATGAACTTCTATGATGCTATTGCTTAACCAACTTCAGAATGTCTCCTGTAAACCTTTTCTACCTGAATTACTGTTACCATAATCTGCTAGATTTAAAAAGTATTCAGTGCTACTGAAATCCCCTCAGGAAGAGTGGTTTTTCTTCATTCTGCTGCTCAAGCCTATTGACAGATGATTAGCTATTGATCATTCAGAAGTAATTTCCACTCAATCCTTCAAGGTAGGAACTATTTCTTGTTGATGTATCTGTTTGGAAGGGAAGAAACATACCTTCACCTTCAGAAATCTGGTGCTGTCTCTTACTAGTGACCACGAAACTAACATGGTAATTTTCAATGAAAATAGCATAAACTATATAAACAACATAATCGCTTTTTCACCATTATAAAAATTCACTCTTAAATAAAACAACAAGCCAGAAGTTAACCCAATATTTTATCCCAAAGATAATGAAATTATTTGTTCACTCTATACAGTTATAAACATTAAGGGAGCTTGAGATCTGTTCATCCTGATATAGGTCTGAAGAAAAAAAAATGAATATCATCACGAATGGTGTTTTATCGGAAATTGGAATGAGAACATTCTGAACCAGAACCTAAAGTCAAAAGTAGGTTAGATTACTTGGACCAATGTTACAGAAGGCGCTTAGGGGACTAGGAGTAGGCATCTGAGCTAGCGCCTAGCGCCTAGACACCTAGGCGGCGCCTTAGCGTTTGGATATTTTTTAAATTATGTAATTATAATAATTGATAAAAACATGTGTTAAATTCATATAAATTTGTAAAAAAAATAGATATCAATCTTCGATCCACAATAATGAATAAACCATGCATACTCAAATACTAAATAGCCAAAATAATAACTAACAAGCTTATAAAAAGCACTATGACGCCTATGCATTGGACCCGGCGCCTAGAGCAAGGAGGCATTCTATTTTTACTTTTTAATTATAATAATTGATAGTAAATGTTAATGTTATAGAAAGCTTAGGTATCAGACTGATGTCTAGGCGAATTTCTTTCTTTACTTAAGTGGTGGTCGAAGAGGCTTTGCTAAAGGTCGGAGTAGGTAGTGGAGGTGTTCATATTTGGAGGCTAAAGGAGTTTGAAGGAGGTTGGAGGACGTGGAGGTTCTAACACAGAAAATCACGATCAAGGCCTAAAGGGTGCAGTCCGCATAGACAGACAATGCTTCTCTAAACACTCCCAAAATCTAAATGGGCAGCCTAGGTACCGCCTAGACACTAGGCGCAAGTTAGGCGATCTAGGTGTTGTCGCCTAGCGTACGCTTAGATGGACTGGACTAGGCAGAGACTTTTTAAAACAGTGACTTGGACACGGCATTTTGGATGTTGTGTCCATGTCTGACGTGTTCGGCACAAACTCTCCACAAAAACACTATGGACACGTGTGGTTCAAAGGAAAACCCAATTTCTTTATTAGTTATATCCGGAACTAGTTTCTTTGGTAATTTTGGGTCCAAAACTAATCGCGCTTTGGAACTCGAAAACAAAAATCCATTACAGTTTGAAGAATACCCATCGTATTATCCTATGCGACCAAAACTAAACTTTCGTTGTTAAACCTTATTCTTAGTTTGATTTAGCTTGGTTCTTAATTGTTATAGATAATAGAAAGAAATATACAAATATTATAGGTATTTTAATTCAATAACATATATATATATATATATATATATATATATATAAACACAGACATATATATAGCCATGTCCCCATATCTTACATTTTACAAATTTATCGTGTCCCGTGTCCGCAGCTGTATCCGTGCTACCAAGAAAATAGGCATCCTTAACTTATGGGTGTGGGTTTGAGTGGGTTTAGAGCATGGTTGGCAAATGTTCAAAGTGGCTTGTGGCTTATAAGTCACCTTTAGATGTTTGGCAAGTAGTTTATTTTAGCTTACAATTTACCAAAATATAAGCTAGGGTATCCAAGCTTATTTTTTGGTGGACTATAAACCATGAGGTCTGACGAAGTAAAAGACAATAATACCCAATATGGTTTCACAAAATTCAAGGCCTTATTTAATAACTCACCACCGACGACCCTATGTTTTTTGTTTCCTTGATCATTTCGATAACAATGATGGATTATAATCCACCCATTTACCAAACACTTGAAAGTGGATTATAATCCACTAAATATATCAAATACTCTAGATTATAATCCACTTGGATTATAACTGATATGTGGATATAATCTAAAGTTCCCAAATATACTCTTAGTATTCCTGTTCTCAATATCAAAGACACACACACACAAGGTTTCATTCTCCTTTAATAACATAAGATGATATAAATACCATAAAATGTTAAGTTATAAAGAAAATGACTTATCATTAGATTTGGTCATGTGTCTATGACCAAATTATTGCACTGGTTGAACAAAACTACATTGACAGTGAAATACTCCATACTGTCATCCTCTCACAGAAATGAATATCCAAACATAAAAATGGAATAAATCATTCAAGAGCAAGCCAAAAGGTTCAGGAGCAAATGAAAAAACTAAAGATCCATGTCAAAAAAGCCAATGCAAAAACAACCCCATTACTAGGGGAAAAAAGGGGGTCAAACTAGGAAGGATAACATACTTGAATAACATAATTTCCATATTGATCCTGAGCCAAAACACACACAGATCGCATGATCTCTTCCATCATCATGCTTTGTGTTTTTTCATCATCACAGTGCTCCAAGACCCTCTGCCATAACATAGACAATCCATCAGTAATGACTAATAAATCTCCATTACTGCATAATGAACTAACTTAAAGCACCAATATACATCTGGTATGAAGGCATTAAATCAGAACCTGTATAACCCTACAACCATAGGGGTGTGTAGATAGTGCCACAACATGCCCATAAAAGGCAGATATAATAAACTGGATCCTTTCTTGAGGAACACACTCGATACACTTTTGGATTACATGATTTCCATTCTGATCACGAACACATTTTATCACTGAACCATCAAGCTCAGACACCATCTGTGTCTGCTGATCCACATTAACAACTTCCAAGGCCTACACAAAACCAACTCTTTATTCAAAAAACTTCACTAGAACAACAAATCAAGCTGCAAGAGTGTGACCCATATTATGCCAGAATAGGAATGGTAAGACGAGAGATATCAGAATCTACAGAGAAACAGTCCGCTTTATAAATCTATGCACATCGACAGTAGATGTAACCAGATAAAATATAGTGGACTTCGCGAAAGCCACTAAGAATAAGAAACTATTGGTAATGAAAAAGATCTACCCAGATCAAATGAAAAGGATTTCCATCACCTGAGTCGACATGTTGAAGTTTACTACCAGATTGCAAAGTCATATAAGGTGTGGTGAATACCAACAAGGATGAAAACAGGACTAGAGATATTGCAGTGCATACTAATCAACAAGTTTCCAACCCACTAGAAAATTTATCTATCTACTAAAGTTATTGGAGTTTTACTGTAGCTGGGAACTGTTCATAGCTACCAGGAGCCCCATTAACCCAAACCAAAGTGTATTTTGTTTTTTTTTCTATAAGCCCAAAGTTTTCCTCCATTTATTATTATACCAACCCACATTCAAAGTGTGTTACTTTCTTTCCTATAAACCCAAATTTTACCCCCATTTATTTTTACACCCACCCATTTCCTAAGTTTGTCTCAGTTTATTTTTCAACCCATCCGCTTCGCCAAATGATTTTTTGCCTATAAACCCAAAGTTTTAACCCTATTTATTTTTAAACCCAACTTCTTTCAAAATCACTCCAAAAACCAAAATACTCCACTCAATTAATTTCAATAATTCTTTGTATTTCAACTATTTGCTACAAATTATAAGTTTATCTATTTTGTTGCTACTTGCTATCATTATGTTCTAAGTCATAAGATATGGTGTATCTTTAAACCAATTCATAAATCGTTATGTTTGTTGTTACTTGCTATCATTATGTTCTAAGTCATAAGATACGGTGTATCTTTAAACCAAATTCACAAATCGTTATTTTTGGGTCTTTTTTGCACTAATCTACAGATGAGATTTTTGCTTATAAACACTACCCCCATTTATTTTTAAGTCCACCCACTTGCCAAAAGGTTATTTTGCCTATAAAGCCAAAGTTTTACCTCATTTATTTCTAAACCCACCAGTTTTCTAAATCAATCCAAAAACCAAATTACTCCACTCAATTAATTTTAAACTCCCTTTGGAATACAACACAAGTTCTTATATTTGGTATACAATACAAGTTTTTATATTTTGTTCCTAGCAATAGTTTGTTCTAAGTCATCAGATACGATGTATTTTTTTTAAATCAAATTCCTAAACCATTATTTTTAGAGCTTTTTTTCACCAATTTGCACCCAAAGTTAATAGCACTAAGATACCTCATAGTTTCTATACCCTCCTTTTTTAACATTTATATACCCTAAGCTGTTTAAAATTGGCATGTTAGTGCTCTCAATCATGCAAACGTGCAAATTGCCACCGAAAAAAATATTTCACTATGATACTTACAGGATAATCATAGAGTTTTTAAGTATTAATATTTGTTAAATTTAATATTAAACCTACAGAAATTCTATTTTAAAACTTATCTTAATTCTACTTTAAATTAGAGTTCGGGCTGTTTAACGATAAATTTAACGAATATTAATTGTTAGAAAGCTCAACAAATAGCTTTTAAATACCATAGAGGAACATTTGGGTGAAAATATTCATGTTTGCATAATAGAACGTATCAATGTGCTAATTTTAAAGAACATCGGATATATAAATGCTACAAAAAACAAGCGAGCATATATACGTTCTAAGTGAGTGAAACTATGAGGTATCTACGTGCTATTTAGCCCATCTATTTTTAAGCCCATCTACTTACCAATAGGTTTTTTGCCTATAAACCCAAGTTTTACCATATTTATTTTCAACTCGTCCACTTCCAGAATTAACCATAAACATAAAAAAGTCCTCCAAATTAATTTAAATTCACTTTGTGTTCTAACAATTTGATACGGTATAAGTTGCTCTTTCCTAGAACTTGCTATATTTTTTTATTTTAAGTGGTTAGATAAACATTATATTTTTAAATATCTATTTTTTTACTTTTTCACCTAATCGTTGTAGCATAGCATGGGTCAATTTTTCTCATATTAACTAAAAAACATTGCTATGCACAAAAATCAACAGGAACCGACCTCTATAAAAATATGACAATAGGTCTTGCAAAATGCTATCTTCACGGAACAACATAAATAATGATGGTTAAACTCTATGTTTATGCACATTGTTTTCAAATAGTGTCATTATGTATTGAGGGAAAGGATAGGCTTTTTGCCTACATCAAGATTTAAAGCATGGAGTGGATACATCCATTTTCTCAAACTCAAAATTCCATCAGCAGAACCTGCTTTTAAGCTCAGAGTTGAAAAAAGATCCATGCCTCTTTAAGAAGCCAAAACGTTTACTTGTTAATGAAAAATATTGCCATGATATCAACAAATTTAACATGATTATTGATTAGTTAACCATGATAAATTGTAGTTTCATAATCCATTATTTACTACATAAGTAGAAAGATAATTTGGCATGCTTTTCAAATCAGCTTACAATATCTCTATGCAACCAAAAGGTGAAATTGCAATCATGTAATTCGACACGTAGAAGCCACTTGGTTGAAGAGAATATATAGCAAACAGAAACAGCAGATCAGGACAGAGGAACAAACCTTCTGAATTACTCTACAACCATACATCTGAAGACTGAGAGGTAACACATGGCCCATAAGTTGAGTGGCAAGCTGATTTCTATGGCTTTCTGTACCATGCTCGAAAAACTGCCAATTCAAGTGTTCAAATTTCTTCAGTATATCCCTTTGTATCTTTTCAAATGTTGCATAACAGATAGAAATATACATACTTTCTGTATGACGTAATTCCCAAACACATCAGTCATCAGAACCCGAGCATGGGCAAGGATCTTAGGAAATAATTTGTTCTTCTCTTCAATTGAAGCAGTTTCCAATTTTTGTTGAATAAAACGGCTTCCATACTGATCCCCACTGCATAAGGAAGAGGAATAAAGAAACTGGTGATTCACCCTTAATTTCAATCACCAAATATGTGGAGAAAATTGCGGAATCATAAAGGATAGCACATGAAATCAAGGAAAGGGATAGTACTAGTAATAAAGGCGATAATTGTAACTTAAGACTTCTTAAATGATCAGAATGGTCGAAGCCAAATTATTTAGTTTTATTTGTTACCACTTATAATGTCACCGATAAAATAACTGTGCTTAAACTAGCAGAAGACTATTTATTTACAAAAACCATTGGAAAGTCAAATGAGTATCCATGAACTGGTGGGCTACTGGTTTGCAACTGAAGGTTTAAACTACCTAAAGCAAGATGGCTCTGACACAAGGAAAAAGGTATTAGTAAAAAACAAATGTCGTATTTCCTCCAAACGAAAAATTCTTAAACAACCAAAGTGGTAGATAGCATGTTAGCCTTTTTTTTTTGCGTGTTAATTACAAAGGTCACCAAGAAAATACCTGAACTCAACGACATGCTCTGCAATTTCACACAGTTCAAATGATCTGATTTTATTGGTCTTGAATTCTTCCAGCAAAGTGGATGCAAGACCTTGCTCCATAATGCCATTTACATAGCTCCATGATCCTTTAGATCCTCCAGTCCCACTCCTCAAAGCAGAAGGTAATCGTGACAATGGTTCATTCTGCCTTATTGGACTTCTGGGAATCACTGTTGGATATGGTATGTGAAGACCAGCACCAGAATTTCCATAGAAGTCATTGCTCAAACCACCAGATTTGCCAAAGTAGGTTCCGTGATGAGTCAGTCTCTGCTGTGCAAGCACTGTTCCAAGATATGCTTTTTTGTAGTCCATCATATCAAAATGGTTGGTATCTAGATAACTTCTTCCTAAAGAAGGATCATTCAGGTCCGTAGCGTAATTAGAAGCTCTCTGTACATACTGAGAATAAAGAGGATCCATAGGTGGTGCTTGAAAAGCAGAACTGACCTGGTTGGCAGTTCTGGGAAGATAATTTCCTTCTAATCCACTTGACACATTAGTACCTGTTCAAAAAATATATGTAGATGAGAAAGAATGTAACTGTGGCACAGGGTATAAGGCCTACCAGCTAGAGTTGGCATTAAAAATCATAAGATAAAATACCTTCATCAAACTGATTGTTCAACATATGAAGTGCACTTGAGTTGCACCCAACAAAATCAATGTTAGCCGTATCTGTTGGATAATAGCCATTGGATCCTGTTAAACTGTTTGAACCCACATCAACTACTTTTTGGGTTAGATTCATAGATGGCTGTTCTCGCAAACCCACTTGTCCATTAGAAGCTAACACGGATAGACCAAGATCATTAAGAACACCAGCATTCTTAGAATACCCGTTTTGTCCCAGCAAAGGGATATCAGGAACATGGAGGGACTCAGATTCAGAACTAACAATAATGTTCTTCTGCAAATATTTGGCATGACCATTACGCATAGTAAATAGACGTTGAGGCTGATCAATGAAGTCACAATGAAGCTTGTCCTGCAGATGACTCTCCCCATGTCCTTTAATATTATTTGAAAGACTCAACCCAGATAAGGAAACTGCTATATCACCAGAATCCGCCATGTGAGAAGCAGGAGCTCCAAATCCATTAGAAACAATCTTCTTTTCAGCATCAATCAACCTTTTCCCAACAGGTGAGTAAAAGCTTGATGAACTCCCGATTGCATGACGATCTGGTGTTGTGCTTCTAGATAAAGAGGAACCAACAGCTGATGCAAAGGACTGTGACATTGTTGAACCAAGGCTCTGAACCCTAACAAGTCCAGGAGAGGCTGCTTCCGAGCGCAAACCACCTATTGTGTCCATGCCATTCTGATTCTGTGGGAACTGAACATCAGAAAATCCCTTCAGATCATTAGAAGTGCCATAAGAACTGTGACTGGCTGCGCGTGAAAGATGTGGAGATACAGAAGGCAAATGGACAAGATCTTCCTGCAGTGGAAACTAGTTCATGTTAGTAACAACTATGAAATAATTATAAGATTTAAGGTTAAGCCAGCATAATTCAAGGATCAAATAGAACAGTGTTAATCCACCAACAAAAAAGCAAGGAAGAAGGGGTAACTCTCAAGAGATATATAAAAGAATAGAAGATCGTGTAGTACGAAAAATTGGAAGATACTGATCATGTCCCAATACCACAACAAAATCTAATATAACTATATTTACCCGAAGCCATATTGAGTCCAAAATAAATCTCTGGAGATGAGAGATAGTTATAGATAGATATTGGGGGAGAAGGGGGTGGGGGAGGACAATGCATACTTCTGGGTATAAGAGTTAAAAGGGCATTTTTAAGAAGCGTTAGTTCAAATTAAATATCTACAGCTGCATTATTAACCAAAATAAAGAGGCAGGAAGGGAAGTTTTTCTTCTTCTTTTTTTTTTTTTTTTTTTTTTGGGGGGGGGGGGGGGGGGGGTACTAGCAAAGCGAAGTTTTTCCATTTACAGGATACATGGCATAAAATACTAGAAAAGCATAGTCTTACCATTCATAAGAGACAACATAGCAAATTCCACTAAAAAAAACCTCAGATCACATACAGAATGCATGGCATAAAACACTACAAAAGCAAGTTTTCCCCCATAACCATCTTTGAGATGGGGGTTGAGAGCCAAAATGTGTTAAACAATCATGGTAGCTACTATTCCTTCAACTGATAACTTATGTCAACCTTACTTTCTAGCTTCATTTTGCTGCCTGAATGTCCGGCCTAAGGCGCTTATGATTGCATGGGTTTATTACAGTTAAAATGTTGTGACAATGTTAGTCTTAAAGAAACTAATCCTACCCTTCTGTTTTAATGTCTTAACATACTGCCCTTGAGATTTAGCAGCCCTTGTCATCACAATTGCTGATGAAACAAATTACTGAAAAATTACTAATAGTTCACTCTTAAAATCTACCCTTCAAAGATCATGAATAATGCTCAAGAGCACATTACCGTATTTCCTTCCATTCTTTAAGGCTTTCAAATATATTGTGTTGCTGGCGACGCTGTACCAGGTAACTCCTTAATATCCAAGTTTCTTGCTTTTGAATGTCAGCAATAATCTTCGACGTATTAAGCCTTGTAGTGACCTATTCCGACCAATTTCTTGCCCATAATTTTACATTTTCATAGTATCTGCTTTTTTTCTTCAGTGTACCTCTACATAAACCACCTTGTAGTTACCAAGAACAAGTGAAAAGATTCTTTCATACAGTTCAAGGAATAACTCTCAACTAGGAATCTAGGATTCATTCACATCGTGTTTCTGTCTTCCCCTATTCAATTTCTCATTTCATTTCACTCTATGCTTTTCTTTGCCAACTTATTTTCCTATCAAAGCATAGCGTGCAATGTTTTAAATGTCGGCCGACATATCGGATTGAGGGCTCGAGCGACACGAGTCGGGCATTTTTAAGTCATATGTCGGTTTTCAGGAGAAAGTCGGATATATCGGGGTCATATCGGGCATATCGGCCGATTTTTCAGCTTTAAAAAATCAGCCGACATGCCATTTTTTTGGTTTAAAGCTATTTTTCTTATTGGGTTTGGGTTTAGTGATGAAAACCCAAACTCATTTGATCTGTTCTGATGTAGGTCTCTTTACGAACCCGATAGAAAAAATAAAAAAAAGACTAGGGCTACCGCGACTGGGAACCCATCAACCGTCTTCATCTTCATCTCTCACTCTCTTGCTTTCGTTCTCCTCACTTCGTCGGCGCTGCCTGCCTGTCTCCCTACAACATCGAAATCCACCCATCTTCGGTGCCGCCTTCTCCTCTCTCTCTTCCATGCGCCATCGGAAGCCGAAGTTCCTCAGCTTCAGTCGTCAGGTATGTGGTCAGGTGATCCTTTGTATGATTCTTCGTTTAAATTAGTATATTGTTGTCTCTTTTGTTGCTTTTCCCTTAGTTGTTTACATATTACTTTAACCTTCTGTTTATCATGTTGGACTAGTGATGCAACTATAGGATTTGAAACTTTCTCTAATCTAGGAAAATCATATGTTGTAGAATCCCATATTTAAATGAATAGAAAGAATAGTTGATACAAGTAGAAAGTTAGAGCAATTGTGATGCGAACATCCGGGCACGTGCACGGGATTTTCGACATGTTTATCAGCACAGGAGATTATGTATTTCAGCTTTGTATCAGATTCTTGCTATGTGGTTTTAGTTAAGATGGAGTCGAGTCTGTATTTTCAGTTGTTTTCTTTTAATAAGAGTTGAAGTTTAGCTTTGCTTAATAAGAGCTTTATTTTTAGTCTCACATCGGATGTGGAGAGAGATGGAACATTCTGTAAGCCTATTTAAAGGCGGGTTAGTTTGTAAGCAATGTAATGAATTTTTTTGAAGAAATAAAATATTTAAGTTTTCTCCAAAAATGAAAATTCACCCTCTACGTATTTGGTGTGTGAAATCCAAATATTAAATCTAGGTGTGTGAAACCCTAATTTTCTTATCCCGCTCTGCAATCCAAATCTCACTTCCATTCAAATCCCCAAAAATACATCCCAACCACCCATTTATTCTCAAACACATCACAACCTCTCATTATAAAAAAATAAAAGATAAAAAAAACCTAATTTTTCTCTCAGCTTTCGTCTCCCCTCCCCCTCTTTCTTCTCATTCCCACAGCCGCCTCCTCA